AGTTTATCAAGACCGAGCAGAAGCCAGATAGAGAACATGTTTGTGGCTAAAGGAGCAAGGCCAGGGTTCTGGAATCAGGTGGGAAACTGGGCCAGTCTGCAGAAGGAAGAGTAAGGAGCAAATGACAAGTGACACGAGAAGGAACACGGACAACTGAAAAATCAGTGCTCAGCCGGAGTTACAACAGGAAACGCGTATGCAGTGACGGGGTGACTGCAATGACTTGGGGAGTTTCCTCAGAATACTGCGTGAGTTTTAAATTTCTTACCTAAAACAAGCAGAGAGAGAGCCAGAAGGATAAGTAATACAGAGAAAAATTAATAGAACTGATTCCAAAAGAGGTAAAAAAGGAAGTTCGGGGGGGAGGGGGGAACTTAAGTTTTAAAAATGATTAACCGAAAAGGGAAGTTGTGGGTTAAGTCAATCTCAGGGTAGAAAACTGAGCACATGAGGAAGCCAGACGAGAGAGGAGCTGTGTGTCACTCAGCTTATAGTGTCACTTGCCAAGAGTTACTCAAAATTCCTTCTCCTTTCTGTTTACAAACCTAGGCTTATACACTCAGAAGAGGGTTCTCTCTCCCTCATGTTAAACGCTAGATACCATTCCATACATTTGCCTGAATTGTGATTCGAATTTCTCATTGCCCATGTACGACTTTACAACAGGTGAAATCTTGACCTGACACAAGCTAAGGAGATGGAAATACGCCAGGGGCCGGGCTCTCGGCACCAGGTCTCAAGTTTACGTCAAGAGGCAGAATGCTAGATTAAAAAGAAAAGAAGTCTGATCGCTAATCTTTAATTCAGAGCATCTGAGATCTACAGAAGTTCTATAATGAGATTGTTAGCAGTGACAAATATCATAAAATTTCAAGCAACATTACAGCTAATTCATATTAATTAGTGATTTTTGGCAAATAACATGCACACTGACATTTCATGGGGAATGTTCCCCAAATGGCAGCCAGAGTGTAACATGCATATGTAATTCAATTTAATTTCTTGCTATAAGTTTTTAAAAAGGAAATGTTTACAACTCCTAAAACATTTGATAAGAAACACACCTTTTAAATTTTAAAATAAAATAGCCAGTAAACTTGCCTTACTAAACAAAATGGACATCATGAAGAAATCCAGTAAGAAGCTCTCGGACATATCTTTGTAGTCAAAATGGAAGAAGATGACAGCAAAGCTCAGGTTAATGTACTGGTGAGCTGGGTTACAGAAAGAGGCCCGCAAAAGCTTCATGCCAGCCATTGTCACCAGAAAAATGTCCCAGCTGTTAGAGAGGGAAGAAAGAAGAGTGATCAATGACGGTGTACAAACTGCTAGGTGAGTGACACTAGCTAATGTTTTTGAGCATTTACTGTGCATTCTGCACTTTTCAGGCACAACAAGCTGAAGTGGGGGGCCCTACGATTACCCTTATTTGACAGAGAAGTAAACTGGGTCTCAGAGCTTGAGTCACTTGTCTAGGGGCTCATTGGGCGGAGCTAGGATTGAAACTCAGTGCCAGGGGACTCCTGAGTACAGACTCTGCCACTAGGGGAGGCTCCTTCCCACCATATGCTTTTCACTGTCCCCTGTCCTTCAGCAAGGACACAGAGCTCTCTTGGGGCTTATCTGAAGGACTACTGCAGTGACAGCTTCCACAGGAAGCTTGAAGGCGAGTGAGAAATCAGAAAGCACGCTGCCCCTGTGAGGTCTGTGCAGTGTATGCCTTTTGTTATAAAAGAATTTTATTGAAGCAGTGGTGTGATCATAGTCAATATTAGATTGTGAAAAGAGGAAAAAAACCCATATAGTAACAATGCCATTGCTACTTTTTTTCCATATTAACTTCCAATGTTTCTCAGCATATTTGTCATCTCAGTGAACATAAGCATTCTGTTCTCCCTTTTTGCTGCTGAAAATTCTATCATCAACATTTTTTTCCCATGGCATAGGCCTTTTCTGTTAAGGAGCTGACCAAACAGTCTGGCAAAGACAGACCAGGACTTGGGTTTTGCAGCCTGAACTCCTGCACGCCACTGCTCAGGGGGCAGGGTTAGTAACCGCATAGGGAGTATGCCCGGTGTGTGCAATGCCACCAGATGGTGAGGTCAGCAGGGAACCACCGACCTACCGAGAGACTGACAGCCTGACAGGGCAACCGCCTGCTTGAGGGGTCCGTCTTTCTGCAGGAGGGCTTTGCATATATTACCAGATCTCCCCCCCCCACACTTATAACATCCTCTTTAGGAGCTCAAAAGAAACACAGAGGTGGGAATACTTTCCAAACAGTGTTTGCACTTGAACAAGAGAGGCTGAATATACAGAAAACCAGAAGAAATGCCTCAATTTCCCTGAGCCTACAGGGATCCTGGGCTCTGACCCCTTATTGGCATCGTCACTATTTTATCCCAAGATGAGGGCATTGAAAAAGTGCTTTCAAAGTCTTTGCACCTATCAGGTGCAAAATCGTCATTTTTGTCATAAAAAAGATCAAAAGTTGGCATTTTTATATGCACAATCTGACACTGTGCATGCCTTTAGCCTCAGGGCTGCGGTCACTCCCACTCTGCCCCTGGACGTGCCCGCTGAGGTTTGCCCAGGCTCTCCTGGGAAACACTGGCACTTGATTACACGCGGCTCTGGGAGAGAGGGCACGTTTTTATGCAGCCTCACAGGAAGCTCTCAGTGTTGCTGCCGCAAGGCTGAGCACTGCTCCACTACCCGCCTTCCTTTCCTGGACAACGAACGCCCCTGCGGAGAACACAGTATGGAAACCCGACTTCCAGTTGCCTTTGACAGCAGCCCAGGGTACAGCATCCCTTGGGGACAGCCGAAGCCCTTGGAGAGACCCTAGTGACAAGTGTTTTAAGACTAAGGATAGTTTGGTTTCCAGGAGAGATGGGTGATTTTCTGGGTTATACAGGCCCATCTAGATGAGGACTAATGCTGAACCTTCTGTTATATGTGACTATTGTTAAAATGCACACCATCAGTGTTGTGTTTATTCTGGTGACTGGTTAAGACTATGGGAGATCTAAGGAATGATGTTATGGCCTTTCTAACACTGCAGTAGCAATGGTTTCAGTTAATGATTCGTAGCTAAAGGTTCTCTAAAGGTTTATATAGCAATTGGTGAACAGTGAGTGGCCTAGGACAGAAGCAAAGTATCCATTCAGATCAGGCTGGGAAATATAAATACCTAACAAGATATGCTTCAGCCACTTGATAATGCATCCATCCATCCTTCTACCATTTACTAGGGGTTTGGTATTGAAAGTTGAGTAAGAAACAGTGACTGCTGTTGGAGAGCCCGCTATCTGACCATCTGGAATAGTGGCTCTCAGTGAAGGACACTTATAAAGTTTGAAACAGGTCTCAGGGTGACAATGACACACAGTCTCCTGCTGTCCTTTTTGAGAACAGCTGGTATAGTGGAGGGACTGAAATCTTGAGAGGTTTTTTGTTTGTTTGTTTGTTTGTTTTTTAACTCTTCAGATGGATGCCTCAAGAATATAAATGAATTGTCGGCTTTGGGCTCTGAGGAAAATAATTCCGTTGGTAGCATCTTGGAGTGGAAAATCCCTGGAGGTATACAGGTAAGGTGCTACTTTCTGACTTCAGTGTTTGGGGAAATTTTTCAGGGGTTACAGAGTAATATTACTTCACACTGGACTCTCTCCGAACTGTTTATCTGACTCTAATTCCCAACCCTTGTGTCCAACAGCCAGAACTGCTTGGTCTCAGCCTGCAGGCTTGGCTCGAGGTCTAGTCCTGACGCTGACGGAGAAAACTTGAAAACCTTAGCTCCATACCCCAGGCAGCACTGATCCCTTCTTTGCTACCTTGGTTCTGACTGAGAGCCCTCATTCTAGAAACAGAGGATTTGCCTTGTTCTAGGAAGTCATCATGGGGTTGGCCAGGGTTGTACCAGTGGGAACACCTTCCACGAGGAGAAGCACTTGACGTAGTACGTGGAACGTCAACTCCTGGATTGGGCCCCATCCAAACTACCTAGCGGTCTGTGGCCCCATCACCTGACTTCTCTATCCAGTGAGACTAATTGTCACCCTGGACCCGAAGTCTAGGATTTTAAGTACCAAAAGGCACGGACTTCTTGCCCTGGCCTAACTGAAACAGGTCTGAGCTGGAAGGAAGGCAGAGTCTGACAGAAGCAGGAAGGCTACAGGATCGTTTCATTTGAATCCACTCCAGGTCCAGGATGCCAGTGCCTTTGACCTTCGCTTGCTCGGTCTTTGGCAAGTGTTCATCACTGTGTCGTCATCTCGTCCTGAAGGAAGGGCAGGTCTGGATTCGCCTGCTTGGGATTATGCATCAGGGTTGACTTGGGCACATAATGGTGCAGTAACATGACTAATAAGCAAACCTCCTACACTAACAACTTATTTGACTAGAAACATCTTTTGTCAGAAAGACAAATCCACAAATTATCCTGTGGATTTCCACGTGTAAATTCTGAGTTAATTTTAATACGTGAAACCTATGGCTCAACTGTACATTGCCAGCGCTTGCAAAACCACAGGCATCCTGATGGCAAGAAGTCTCTGTGCTCCATTTTTAAAATTGTGACTCTCCTCCTGATAAATGCAGAGAGAGCAGTGACAGTGATAAACTTCCCCTCCTTCAAGCACAAAATGACAGAGTATTTGCTAAATGAAATGACACGAGGCAGCTCATAAAGCTCTAAGCATGATGGTAGGCACTCCAGGAATCCCGGAATCACACCGGGCTCCCATCATCTTATTAGGGCTCACTGACTAAGTGCTTGCAGGATGGTTTTCAAACCTACTGACATCTGTTCAGAGCATCACTTCAAGTAGATCTACCTTCATTTGCACCCAAGTCACCCTACAATCACCATCTTGCTCGAGCGAGTTTGAGTAAAAGACCACCATAGAAGTGGACTGTGGAAGCAGGTTAGAGAAAAGTCACTAGCTTTTGAAAACGTTGTCATTAAATCATATGAGAATAAACCATGCTCCACTTACTGGGTCCCAAGTCTCCGGTAGTTGCTTATTGAAAATGCATCAATGGTGAGTGCGTTCAAAATGATCGCTGGGTACAAGATATATTTTTCAAAACACTGAAGCCAAACATAGAGTCGTTCGAACCACATTAAATGGGCGACATCTGAAAGAAACACAAAACCCACTTAGAACAGCCACGGATCAAATTACTTTTCTTTAAGTACATGTGAGAATAAGTACTAGCTCCCCTTTAATTCAAAAGCTGCTGGTTGAGAACTCCAGATACTAGACACACCACACAGAGTGACCCGACAGTGACATACAATAAAAGGGGCCGTCCCCTCAGGATCAGGAGACAAATGACCTGTTCCCAACATTCTTCCCTGGGACTTTATGTAAAGGGTCTCAGGAAGCAACACAAATACCACACGTACCACACACACAAAAGCAGGAACTGATAGTTTCCTTTCTTCTTTGTATGGCTGACATTTCTATATAAGAATGTAATATCTTTATGACTCAAAACACAAAAGCTATCTTCATTTGATTAAAAATGAGGGAAGGTTAGGCATTCAGAAATCTGGCTCGATAAAATTAATTTGAATGAGATAAGGAATGGTGAGGATGGATGGAGTGGAAATTCTTCATGACATGGGAAAAACCAACACCCCAACCACAACTTCATAAGTAGAAGAGAGCTACAACTAGAACTTACCAAGGTAAGAATAAAAAGAGATTTTAGTGATAAATGAAACAGTGAGAAAGTTGGGGGAAATTCAGTTTAAAAAGTGAAGATGTTGGGTAGGAATTCAACTTTGGGTATTCTTATAGTCAATGTGTAATGTTTTCTGGTGTAGATTTAGAAGAGGGTTATTTCATAAGAAATGCAATTTTTTGACATATCATTAATGAAATCTAGGTATATTACTGTATTTCCCCATGTATAAGATGCACCCTTTTTTGAAAAATTTGGGGTCTAAAAACTGGGTGCGTCTTATACAGTGGTTGTAGATTTTTTACTTGCATTTCCCGGTTTTTCGCGTTTGTTGTTTTTGTGCTCATTGTTTCGCACTTGTTACCGGTATATTACGATAGGTAACTGAGGACAAGGCAATATATGAAGACAGTGATTTGTCACCAGACAGATGAGAACAAGCTAATGGTTGGGAATTTTGACAGTGATGAGGAGTTGTATGAATTTTATGATGAATAAAACTTGAGTTCATTAACTTTATGTAATACATTTTTTTTCAAATTTTGGGCCCCAAAATTAAGGTGCGTCTTATACATGGGAGCGTCTTATACATGGGGAAATAAGGCATCTATATTTTACATATAGATAAAAGGGTTTTTTCCTTTTGTGAAAGTGTATGAAAATAAAGAAAAACAAAACTTCAAGATCCCTCCCCACTCTCCCCAAGCAAATGATTCTAATGTCTACTTCTCAGAGAAAGTTGAGGCTGTTAGGTACAAATTCCCTCACTTTGCCAATCCGTCATCTACGAATGTATCTACCAGAGGTGCCAAAAGAATGTGTACACATTTTAACAGATGTTATCTATACTCAAGCAGTAGTTCCCCATAATCAGAAGTGTCTGGATGCTGATGGTAACTACTTTGAGCACCTCTTGTAATTGCAGAAGTCAAACATGACTTGTATTCATCTTTAGTTATTGCTATATATTGAGTATTAGAATTTTAATACAGTTTTCCTTTCTTAAAATGTGTATACATTTTTTTGGCACCCTCTGTATATTCACATCCACCTTCTTGCTCCTCCTGAGGTTGAGCCCCCACTGATGGGTCCCATTCTTCCTGTCATCTTGGTTCAGGAGTCACTCTTTTGACTCGCGGATAGCTCTTTCCAAAAAGCAAATGGCAAGACTGCAGTCTTGGCCAAGATCAAAGCTCGCCTCCCACCCTGCATCTCCCAGTGCTCAGCCTGTGCTTCTGGGCACAGCCAGGCTTCTGGAAAAGGCTGTCTGTGTCTGGCAGCCCCGAGTACTTACTGCTGACACTTCTGTCCCTGCGTTTGTGGCTCCCCTGCCCAGGAGGTGCATGGCAAGGCCACTTGACACCTCCTAACTGACAAATAACGAACACTTCTCAGGCTTGCTTACTGGACCTTTGTGCGGCATGAAACATCACTGGCCCTTCCTTCTTCTGAAACTCTCTCCACCCTCAGCTTCCCCGCCTGTTCCCCCCTGCCCTCCCCTCAACCCCTACTTGTGCTCAACCCTTTCACACAACACCTCCATTTCCTTTGCAGGCTCCTCTGCCCCATCCTGGGTCACCTGCTCTAAGCCTTGGACCTCTTTATCAGTTCTCTCATTGTCTTGAGCTGATGTCCTCCACACCCACAACTTTCATTATTACTTCGGAGCATGTGGATTAAGAAACACCCTCAGAGCCCCCCACGCGTGCTTACAGTCACTGCCCACAGGTAACAACTGCCCAAGCCCTGAACACCATTGTTTAATTTGGCCTGATATTCTTTGATGCTCTTTGCTACACACTGTTTGTGAGATCCACTCACTTTTGAGTGTGGCTGTCATTTTTCATTCTCACTGCTGCACAGCAAACTACTGTATGAACAGACACAGTCCATTTGTCCAGCGTACTGTTCGTGGGCATCTGGTTAGTCTCCAGTTTATACCTGTGATGACGAGCACCGCTAGGAGCATCCTGTATGCGTCTTCCGGTGAATGTGTACAGCCCTGTGGGGTATATCTACCTGGGTGTGGCGTTGCTAGGTTATTAAGCATGCATGCAGGAAGCTCCCGGAGATGCCACCTGACAAGTCTGCAGAGTTCTTGTGCCAATGTTCGCTCCCACAAACAGTGTGAGAGCTTTTTCTGTGTGTTGCACAAAACCTTTCCTCTCCCACATCTTAGCTACACTGGTGGGTGCACAGCGGTGTCATATTATGGTTTGATTTTGCTTTTCCCTGATGACTAATACAGTTGAGGACCTTTTTGTATGTTTACTGGCACTTGGATACACACGTCTGTGAAGTGGTTCTTCAGTCTACTGCCTGGTTCTTTTTCCTACTGGATCATATGTCGTCTTCCCCTTACTGATTTTTAAGGGTTCTGTATACACCCTAGGTAGGTATGAGTCTTTAGTCAGATATATGCATTGGGAAAATCTCCCATTTTATGTTTTCTTTTCACTCTTTTAATAGTATCTTTTGTAGAAAACAAATTCTTAATTTTAATGTGCTCCAACTTCTCATTCTTTTTTACCCTTAAAGTCTTTCATGTTCTGTTTACAAGACAGAGATCATGATTACATTTTCCTGTTTTCTTCTAAGACGTTTATTGTTTTATTTTTCACATTTAGGTCTAGAGTTGGTTATCGTGTATAATGTAAGGGTTGAGGCTGATATTTTTTCCAGTGATATTTATCTCACTGACCATCACCACTTCGAGAAAATCACTTCTACTTCCCCCTGCACCGCAGGGCCCCAGGCTGCATATGCCTTTATACGTGTTGGCTGCCCTTCCTGGAACGCCATTCCATCTTTCCTACTTCAGAAGTTCCCGATCTTATTATGGAACCAAACATCCTGCCATCTGGCGTTTTCCTTGACTCGCCCCCTCCTACCCCCACCTCCCACCCCCCTGGCATTCCCAACACAACCACTACCCACGGCTGCCAGGGAGCGGCAGGGCATTCACAGCGTCCATCCCACACTGACACTGTTTAGCACCATCAGCCCATGATGATAGTCAAAGGAGTCCAACTTTTAATTGGCTCTATTGTTGTTTTTAAATTCTTGATAAACAATGCACCCCTCTTCTGCCTGCTCCCGGTGGACCCCGCCTTCCCCTCCCTTCAGTGCCCACTGCACTGCCCTGTGTCCAGCTGAGGCATCTGCCAGACACTGAGCCC